TGATCAGACTATATCTTCCCAGTTTTGACTATATGTCTCTAAGTCCACTTGTTTTACCCAACAATCGTAATTCTTTTGTACTGTCCTAGTGACACTGATTTTAGTATGAATGCACGCACGTATACTTAATTAAATATTTTATTATTTAAATTATAAACTCTTGGTCAGAGTATTTTAATCCCATTGTATTTATAGTTTGTATATCTTTTATGGATTGATATACTCAATTCACTATAAACAATGCTCTGATACCAATCTGTCATACCCCAAAACCGAGAACGGCGGAAACGTTCTGGGGCGGAGGACGTCATGTACAGTATCACAACAACGTATAGTAGTAAACAAGCAACAACATCATCCATTGCATTAATAATATAATTTTAATACAAGTGTTCTGACATATTTAATAGACACTAAAGTATGAATCAAAAATGAAAGATGAGTCTTGAACGAGCTCCATCTTCTCTAAACCTTGCATCGGTACCTGTCTACTGTTGACCTGAGGATACAAGTTATTTTGAAAGAGAGTATCAGCTTTAAAGCTGGTGAGATCATAAGTATTTTAGTGTCTGTATTTGTACTAATGTATTTGTAAGAATGTATTTGTAAGACTGAATTTGTAAGTATGAGTATGTAAAAGTTTTGAATAACCTAGAAAACCATATGTTTCCTACTGAAAGTAGCCCTCTACCAAGGCATCTAGTATCTAACTGTGTCTATTGTAAGAGTGTGTATTTTCCCAAATCTAACTATCAGTAACCAAAAATATAGTATTTACATTACCGTGCATCGTGTGAATGTTCACAAAGTGAATGTAATGGGAAAATAATAATGTACTGTAGTTTTATAATAAGTGACTACTGTTGTACTAACTACCTTAAGCCAAATGAAAGTTAAAGTAACATGTGATCGGCCTGTATCCTACTACCGACTCAATAGTAAAACGACGATGTAAGACGCCGTAGGAAATGACATTTGGCACCCGTAGACTTGTAAGTCCCACTGTAGCGAGCAGCAAGGTGTAGGATAGTCAATCCAGTATAGATCTATACGCAAACTCATACGCTCCCTAATTAAGGAGATTCTGGACACAAAAACGGTCATGGCAGGCAGTGCCATGACGCGTTTAATGGCTCACATAACTGAATGTAATGTATATGTAATGTATGCTAGTTGTATTGTATGTTCTCTCTCTGTCTAGCCTGTATGTTCTCTCTGTATAGTATTGTAATGTATTGTGTGTACTAACTGTATTGTGTGTTCTCTCTATCTAGCAAGTATTGTAATGTTTTGTGTGTACTAGCTGTATTGTGTGTTCTCTCTATCTAGCAAGTATTGACTTATGCATGAACTGACTCTTTGTATGATTCATTGTTCTAGTATTAGTATTAGTAAAACTCTAAACTACGCCTATTGTAGCTTACTAGTATAACTTGTACATATGAACATGGAAGTATACCCTTGCTACCCATGGTTATTTAATTGACTGGAAGAACCTTTATGACTATATATGTACACATGATATATAACTAATAGTTAAACGACCTTCGGACGGATACCCGATACCCTACCAGACCACATCCCAACGGGGAAAAGGAAATAAGGCGGGTTAGCCTTCCTAAGCCCTTCAAACATTACTTATATAACTATACATATCTAGGCATGCAATTGACAATATAAAAGTATAAAAGAAGTTTTGTAAAACCTTTGAAGAGTTTAAGAACTAAGAAAAGGTGACTTGATGTCAGTTTGTAAAACAGTTTGAAAATAGTTTATTTGATAAGACAGTTTAAAGTATAATGAATCCTTTGTTTTGGAAACACAATTGTAACAGAGTTTTGAAAAGAAACATTAAGTATGTAAGACAGTTTGATAAAGACTTGTAAACTAGTAAAAATGTTTTGGAAATTCATTTGAAGTAATCTGTTTGGTAAAACCGCTAAAAGTGTAGTAAATCTATTTGCATACTAATTATTAATCACATGCGATTGATACAATAATTAGCATGATTCAACTTGTATCCCCCCCCATAAAGCATTTAAAAACATTTAAAAACATTTAAAAAGGTTAATTAAGGGGGTATGAACTCACCTGTAGCAAGTGGTTGGGATTGAATGGACTGTATAGGATGCTAGGTGTCAAGTGAAGACTTGTACACACTCTATGATCCTAGTTAACATATAATATCACATATATGTAACCAATTAGCCTTTAAACAACTAAATAACAAATTTAAGACATCCTAAGCCATGATAAACACTTTATATAAGTGTTATAAGTGCTAAGGAGTGCATCTAAGTGTTGTAGGACAAAGCTATCGAGCTTAGGGTTCAAGGGAACCCCTAATATGAGTTTACTCCCTAGAGACCATATTCCATTGAGTTTACGGTCATAAACTCTTGAGTTTACGGCCGTAAGCTCATAACCTTTTGACCATTTGTTGGTTTGAAGTCTTCTAAGTCATTCCAAGCATTCCTAGTTCATGTTTAGGCCTTAGGAAATGTTTTGTGGCATCAATACACTCCTAAATGGAGTTTACGGCCCATGGACCATTTCTCCATGAGTTTGCTGTCGTAAACTCCTATGGAACATGGTATTTTGATGCTTTCAAGTCCCAAACATAACATGGAATAAATCTAGACTAGTTTCCTAAGCTTGTGAAGGGACTAAGGCCATTTTTACACACCTTTGGGGTGTTTACGGTTTTGGGAGATCCCCAAACCGTAAACACATACAAATGAGTCATCTTGGTGGTTTTCATGTGCTAAACACATCAAGGTAAGGTTCTAATTTGATACCCAAGGCTTAGGATAGGATAAAGCACACTTTGGCACCCTAAATAGGGTTTACGGTCCAAGGTGTTCTTGGACCGTAAACACCTTTGATCTTGGTGTTCTTGGACTATGTCTAGATGTGTAGAAGTGTAAAAAAGCTTGTAAGACTCTAGGATAGAAGCACTTACAAGTTAGAAGCTCGAAAAGGTCCAAAAGGCCAAGAACACAAGTGTGTGTTCTTGGTGTTCTTGGTGTAAATTGAAGATTAACCCTTTTGGAAGGATTTCACGGTTAGAAGGGTGTTAAAACACTAGATTAAGTCATAAAACAACTTAAGAAAGCTAGAAACACTTACTAAATCGAAGATCTCGAATAAAACCGTGATGATACTTGAGAGAGTTTGGGAGTTTACTCTTGGATGGGTGGAAAAATGCTAAAAATGGCTAAGTGCCACTTTTATACCCGTCCCCTTTAGGGTTTACGGTCGTAAACACCAAGTTTAGGCCATAAACTCTAAACTTTTGATGTGTCGGGACTTTATTGTTGCATAATAAACCCTAGGGCATCCCCTCTCCTGATATCTCCTAAAGTGTTAATTCTAGAATACTCAAACTTATTCCAAAAAGTCTGAAATTTAACAGTAACTGTTCTGACTTCTATTGACTTGATATGTTATACAGAATGGAAATTTCGGGTTGTCACACACTACTTCCCACCACCATCACCACCTCTCCTTTTTCCAATGGTTGGAATCAAAATCACATGGATCTTTTATTTGCATCTCGTTTGGGAGTGAACTTGGACCCTCAATTGAAGAGTACAAAGAACTAGAGAAAGCCTTGAAAATCTAAGAAGTCTTTCATCTGGGTGATCTAGTCTGTAACCTCGACATTTCCTGTTCTTTCTTAGGGGTGGTGGCGGGTCAAACAAACAACATTAAAGAAGAAGAAGGGCGACGTAACTATCGATTTTGAGCTACCCATCTACAAGCAAGTTCTTATCTCCTTATGTGTCGAGGCAATAAGTATTGAAAAGAGGCACCAATGGGTAAACAGAACAAGAAGCTTTATACTCTATTATTTTTTATGGGTAAATGGTGGAATGGCTTCGATCACTACTTATGGCTTCCTACTCTTCTCTCTATATATGCATACACAAAAATCGATAACAAAGATTAAAAACAAATTGCTTGTGGGTACTTGATCAAGCTTCAAATAATTAACATTATTTGTGGGAGGAATATATGGGTTTATATATATATATATATATATATATATATATATATATATATATATATATATATATATATGTTCCACCCATTTCCCTATTCCTTGTATATTCTCTTCAAATATGATTTTGCAGGTCATGAGCTGATGGTTGCAATGGTGTTGGGTTGTGATGAGGAAGGTGTGTGGGTGATGAGATATAAGAAGATGATAACATGCTTGATTTCTCTTCCATCCCCAGATCTGCATGTGATGTCATAAACAAACGAGAACATAGGAAGAAGATTGTGATAATTTATTGTTGATAATGGTAATAGTGGGTCTATGATGGAGAGATGAAGAATGGGAGATGGATTTGGGGAATTTTGGGCAAACAAGTCTAACTCTTTTGATTTGGGAGACATATTCGAGGTCTTGCGAATATAGATCTTCTTTAAAATCATCGTTATCATCTTTAGAATTTGGAGATTATAGGAAGTAGTGAGAGTTTGGAACAGATTAGAAAGAATTTGGTGGATGGGTCTGATGATGAAAGAAGATGAAGGATCGAGTTACAGAAGTGTGTGTATGTGTTTTGAGTTGCAGGTGTGTGTGTGAGGTGAGACCCCCTCTTTATTTGTTTTTACTTTTAAAAATTTAAATAAAAGGGAAAATGTTTTAGAAAATAGAAAAACAAATTAAAAGGTATATTTGTCTTTTGATGTTTAACAGAAACTAATTCTACAATCAAACTACCTCAAAATGACTATGAATAAAAAAAAGTCGAGCTTTGGACTAAATCTCAAGAAAAATACATACCACAGGGACAATTTTTGCAGTTTTGTCTAGTTTTGTTAAATATGTTAGGGACCAAATGGGCAACAAACATATATAATAGAGACAGTCCGAATTTAAAAAAAAAAGTTAAAGACCAGTCACACAGATTACCACAACTCAAAAGACCATTCATTAACCTATTATTTATGTTAGAAAATAGTTTTCAAAATTGAAAAAAAGGATGTTAAATAAATACAAAAAAAATTTCGCCGAAAATATCAACACTAAAACACAAGAGAGGAGGGATCTCTCCCCCTCGTGTTCCATGTACACACCAACCCTAATTTTCTCCCTTAATTGCCCCTCTTTTTGATCTTATTCTCTCAAATCTATGCTGGATTCCTCTCAATCTATCTTAAATTCATTCATTTAGGTAGAAATATTTGCGATTCCATCTTTTCTGTATCTTCTTCTCTGAAATTTCTGGAACCGCTATATATATAGATACATATATGTACAGGGACCGCGGTGGCCCGTCGTCGAGGTCGGAGATGGTGGGAGGAGGTGGAGCGGGGCCGTTAGATCGGAAAAGAATCAATGATGCCTTGGATAAGCACTTAGAGAAGACATCGCCTTCAACTTCTAGGGTTTTGAATATCAGCAACAAGGAGAAAGAGAAATTCTCCATGCCTTCAACTTCCACAGCTGGTGGTGGAAAATCGTTCCACCTGGACAACCGTTCCTCCTCCACCATCGCCAACACCAAAAGCAAGTGCTCAGATGGTTCGTTTTCTTCTATAATCATCTTTTCTGCTTTCAGGTTTTCAAATATTTCCTTTCTCATCGTCTTATCTTCTGCAATACGATAGAATTCTAGCATGCAGACAAAAAATTCAATTCGCTTACCAATATAACAAACCACAAATTACTTCTAATCTGATTTCAAATTCAGCATTTCCATATCCCGTTTAAGTTCCAGCACAAGTTAGGTTACAAATCCTGTTTATCATCACAAATGTGACGTTTTTTTATTTATTTTTTGTTGCAGAAGAATCAGAAACAGACAGCGAGGAGTCTGAAGTTAGTGGTTCAGATGAAGATGACACATCTTGGATTTCCTGGTTTTGCAACTTGAGAGGAAATGAATTCTTCTGCGAAGTTGATGATGAATACATTCAAGATGATTTCAATCTTTGTGGATTAAGCAGTCAAGTTCCTTACTTTGATTACGCCCTTGATCTAATTCTAGATGTGGAATCCTCTCATGGTAACCTCTCCTATCCTCACATCTACTTCCCCTTCCATTTTAATCTTTCAATTAAAACAGTTTCAATCAAAATGAGTGTTTAATTTCTATATATTACAAACAGGAGACATGTTCACTGAAGAACAGAATGAACTTGTTGAATCAGCAGCAGAGATGTTGTATGGTTTAATACATGTCCGATATATATTAACAACCAAAGGAATGTCTGCAATGGTATGATTTATTGATTTATTGATTTATGAATATGACTTTATCATTTTATTTTTTGTTATTTTGAATATTCTTTTTATAAATTTTACAGTTGGAGAAATATAAACATTATGATTTTGGAAGGTGCCCGAGAGTTTATTGCTGCGGGCAGCCTTGTCTTCCTGTTGGTCAATCAGACATTCCTCGGTCAAGCACTGTGAAAATATACTGCCCGAAATGTGAAGACATCTACTACCCTCGATCCAAATACCAAGGCAGTATCCTCCTCACATTTTCATGTTAAATTTACCTTTTTACCCTTTCTTTCTTCCTCTTTGTCAAAAACAAAAAAATAAGACTTTGATACTTTCACTTTCCATGTGGTTTTTAAACTAGATAAAGAAAAAAACATGTAAATAAATATAAGGGTAGAACTGAGAAATGACAATTTTGCCCCTGATTGTGACTATTATTTTTCTTGACTTCCATAGATATTGATGGAGCTTATTTTGGCACCACATTTCCTCACTTTTTCTTGATGACTCATGGGCCCCTCAAGCCACAAAAGGCAACACAATGCTACATTCCAAGAGTCTTCGGCTTCAAGCTCCATAAACCATGATTGTGGGACCCACTTAGTAGTCTCAAAGAGTCAAAGTAAAATCTTATTGAGAAGAAGTTCCATGAAATTGTCCAGTTTCAAGGTTAGTTGAAATGCAAATATTATTAGGAAAAAAAAATGGAAGTTTATTTATTTGATGATATGGGGGAGTTTGTTTATGGCTCATGTATTTTTTGAGCAAAAACTTAGTCTTGAAAAAAAGTAATTGAGATTATGATGTTAACATATTAGTTGCAAGTCAACTTTTTTTTTTTTTTTTTTTTTTTTTGAAAATTTGGTTTGGAAGTTTATATATGGAAATTCGCTTCGCGGTGTAGTTGTAGTTGTTCTTAGTTTTGTTGCCAATGAGGGCATTTATGTCTTTTGTTCTTTTTTAGGTTGGACAAAAGAATTGCAATTTTTGTCCTGTCGACACGATATTTTTGTTTGTCATAATTCATAATCATATCATGTAATGTCATAGGTGTTTTGCTTAAATGGCATGTTAAAAATGAAATTATGATAATTTTAGTTTAAGCTTGGAACTAATTTTACAAATATACAAAAATCATGTGGCCAAAGTGTCAAAACCAAAAAGTGTAGGACGAAACATGGCAATATATTGTGGGAGGCAGGTGGTTAATCTGTAAAATTTCTCTTAGGTAGGGACTATTTTTGTAATTTTTTTGAAGATAATCTATAAATTTTATAAACATATGGACCTTTTCTGCAAAAAAAGTTATGTATAGGGACTGTTTATGTAAATTATAGGGACAGTTTTTGTAATTTATTTTCTAGACAGAGACCAAATCTGCCAATGTGTGAAAGTCTTAAACGTAGGGACTGATTTTGTAATTTATTTTGTACATAGGGACCAAAACTGCTAAAATACTAAAGTATTGTAGCCAAAACATGAAACTAAAAAGTATAATATTCATTTCCCCTTTGTAATTAGACAATATAGAATAATTAGCGATTTTTTTCAATTTCAGGGTTTATAACATTTTTAATACTTTTTGATCCTTTATTATATTTGATACAATCTTGATGCATAAAAGTGACCATGATTAAACACATTTAATTATTCGATTATAACATATTTTCAGAAAGTAAATAACATAGGATTAAGGCATTTTTGAAGAACAATAGACCATTTCCAGGATGCTTATTTCGAGAAATCGTATCGTGGTAAAAAAAAAGGTGCAAAATAGCAATTTGAATAAGTATATAAACTACCACAATGACTCAACATGTAATTTAATTTATAAACAATATGAAAACCATAAAACATGGATACTATATATGGATAAAAGTAAGGTAAATTAGCGATTTGAATAAGAAGACATGCTACTACAATGACTCAACATGCAAATCTATAGGTGAACAAAATGAATTAAAAAAAAAAAAAATACAAAAACAAAAAACAAAAAACAAAATGAAACCTAGTAAAAACAAGTAATAACTCATATCATGTAATGTTATAGGTGTTTAAAGGACATGTTAAAATGAAATTATGATACTTTTGGTTTAAACTTGGGAACTAATTCTCTAGAGTAAATTACATTTTTGGTACTGATGTATTTCAATTTGATGTTTTATAACGTTTTTGCTCTTTGCTTGTTTCAAGTAAAATGATTATTTAGGAACAAATTTGCAAACATGAGCTATGTTTGGGGTTTGAAAATAAACATTTTATTTGGAAGTTAGAACGAGACCAAAAATGCTACAAGATCCTTCATCAAAATTGCTTAAGAACTTTTTAGTTATCATACTTGGTGATAAAAAAATGTAATACACTCGGTTCTTTAATTAGAAGATGAACTTTACTATATTTGATATTTTGATGCAATGGTTATCTTGGTCTTTAAGGTCAAGGTTGATGCATATATATAACCATGATTAAACATATGTAATTAATCAATCATAACATATTTTCAAAAGGTAAAAAATAAGAAACGATAAAATTAAAGCAATTTGAAGAACATTAGACCATTTTTGCATTGCTTATTTTGGGATGCTGTATCGCGGTAAAAAAAAAATAGTGTAGACGAGCAATTTGAATAAATATATAAACTACCATAACGACCCAACATGTAATTTAATTTATAAACAAGATGAAAACCGAAAAAACATGGATACTATATTGTTTTGGTCAAAAACCGATCAAACAAAGATCAACTAAGTTGTATGAGAGACTATGGTGTTATGAATAACGTGAATACTGAATTGAGATAAAAATAACATGAGTAGTTTAGAAGGAAAGCTTTTGATCCTTGCTAGGATCTCCGACATAAAACTTTTGGAGGTGATAATGATCACTTGCCTTGTATGATCTCATTGATTTGAATGTAAATTACAGAGATGATGATAGAAATATGATTATAAGTGTTTGCCGAGCTCTAAGTTTGTAAGGTGTCGAAAGATTGTGACCGTTGTGTGTCATTTACAAGTGTATTTATAGTCCAGGTTAAGTAACTACAAGTCCGAGATTTATGGGATACTGTTGAACCGCTATTTGAAAAGGTGCTTTGACTTGGTATTCCCGGGTTTTAAGCCTAATTGGATTAATTCTTTATTGTGAATGAGTCATTTGTTGATTATTTCTACACATGTGAGAAATAAACAAGAAATATAGCCGTTAAACTTGTTAGGAAATAATAATGACGATGTTCAGGATTCTGATGTATGTTCGGGATCCTAATACTCCTTTAAGATCCAGGATCCAGGATAGGTTTAATGATCCTTAGATATCTTTGAGATCCGGGATCCTGGATAGGATCGAGGATCTTGGCCCTAAAATATATATGGATAAAAATTAATTAAATTAGTGGTTTGGATCCCCTTCCATACCGCAGAGGGCTTTGACAACCCTGACCCACATCAAATTTGGATAATGGAAGAATCTCCCACGCCATCGAAAAAGCATAACTCTATTGAACGAGAACAAGCTTCCCACGCCCAACATTGCTGCTCATCTAGAAGCTAGATTTCTATACCATTTAACCCAATGCATGCCTCTCATCCAGGTTCACACCCCAAAAAAACATATCCTGCATAGCCTCCAAATTATTAATAATCGTAACCAGGGTAGGGAACATCGACATCAGATAACTACCAAAGGACCCGAAAACCGACTTAACCAAAGTAATTCGAACACCAAAAGAAAGGCTTTTGGCCTTCCAACCCGTCAATAATCGAAGACCACACACTCCCCTGAGATATACTCTAACCTACAGGGACACCCAAATGGATAAAAGGACGCGAATCCTAAGCATAACCCATACGCTCTGCAACCAACCAGACCTAAAAAGTAGGAACCTTGACTCCAAACAATTTGCTCTTGAGCAAATTGAGTTTAGGACCCGAGGCCATAAAAAAGCAAGGTAAAATACAAACAATCTATGCAACATTATGAGGATCCCAATTTGACAACACTACATCATCTGCATAGAGAAGGTGCGAGATCTCTATTCCACTAATGGAAATCTCCCTAAAACATTAGCCATCTTTGCCCTATCTAATGCAACATGTACCCCCACGATGGCCAAAATAAATAAATAAAAAGGGGGGAAAGAGGACCCCCTTGCCTCATCCCTCTTTGCATCTGAAATTCATGAGTATGGGAACTATTTACCAAAATCGAAGCTCTAGTCGTACTCAGAAGCTCCATAATCCACCTACACCACATCGAATCAAAACCCATGATCTGCATAATCTCCCGAAGATAATACCAAAAAAGAGAATCATAGAATTTTTCAAAATCCACCTTAAAAATCAAATATGGATTTTTAGAAGCCTCACTCTAAGACTCATCCAAAAAATGTTTGCCTTTAATAAAAGTAAACTGCTCCATAATCACAATGCTACCAATAATCTCTGCCAAGCTGTTAGCTAAAAGTCTACCAAAAATATTATGTCCGCAACCAATTAGGCTAATTGATCTAAAATCCCTAACGATCTTCGGGTCTCTAACTTTCGGGATAACTGTAAAAAAAGCATTACAACCCTTTGGAATAGAAGAGTGACAATTAAAATGCATAACAAAATCGACAACATCATCCTCCAGAAGATCTCAATAGCGCTTAATAAAACCAAATGAAAACCAATCGACCTCAGCGCTTTAGACGAACCACAATCCCACACTGCCCTTTTAATCTCATCTCACTTAAAAGGAGTTTGAAGAAACTAAAATGAGACTCCGATAAAGTGGAAAAATGACTTGGATCAGTTCTAGGCCGAGAGCCCCTCTGTTAAAAAAAAAGAATTTGATAATAAGCTCGAAATTCTTCCTTAACTCAGCCTGAATCATTAACCCAACCCCCATCCGTCGACACGCCTCGATAGCAAACTAATGCCTCTTATGATTAATGGTACCATGGAGAAAATCAGAGTTCTCATCACCCTCAATACTCCATTGAATCTTTGCTTTCTGAGCTAAATCCACATGAGAACGGTAATCTAAATCTGTAAGCTCATTCAAAACCATAATCTGTTGCTCACGCGTAATAATTGTACCCCCATCTTCCATAAGACGAATATCAATGGAGTCAAGTAACTCCTACAACTCTTTCCTTTTGGACCCTACTCGCTCCCGATTACTAGAATTCCAGGCTCATAGATTGGCTTTGAGAAATTAGAGTTTCTTTTTAAATTTAATCTAAGGGTTGTCAAATATAACCCCTGTAGGTAAATGTGACTAAGAATCTCAGACTACCCCATCAAAGCCATCCATATCAAACCAAGAATGGAATAATCGAAATGGAAACATACCAAAATTTATTTATGTGCTCCAATAAAAGAATAGGACGATAGTCATAGATTCTCTTCTCCAAGACCAAGTCCGTGAGATAAGAGAAAGCCTCCAAAAAACCACCCAACAACAAAAATCTATCCAACTTATAAAATTTAAACCCCCACTTGTCGCTCCAAGTAAACCGAGGACCACCCAATGGGATACCAACCAACTCAGCCTGATCAGCGAGCTGGTTGAACCTCCTAGCCAACGCCAGATGAAACTAGGAACCCATTATCTCTAACTTATCACGAACTTCATTCAAGTCTCCTATCGAAACACCCTCCCCCAAAAAGAACCAATCATCCGAAGGAGTTGAGCCCAAAGTTGCCTCTTACGATTTTCCCCTTAGGAAGCATAGATTGAAATAAACAATGCATCTAATCCTAAAATCGTCCACACCACCTCAATCGGTACAAAATAATCAGAAATGACCACCTACTTCTGA